GTGCTATCTGAAAGAACGTTACATTTACTATAAGAAAACCTATTTACATTGGAGAATGATAAAAAATTTTGCAAGAAAAAATCAGAAAAAACAAAAATGTTTGATTGGTAACTTTTAATTATGATAAACTCCTGGAGCTTTGCAAATTCCCTCTAAAGTTTCCCTTTCAATTAGCTTCCAGCGGTAAACCCACCTTTTCGGATTTCCAAAGCTCCAGGAGTATGTAGTTATTAACCGTTACCAATCCAACGTTTCAAAAATTTCAAATTTCAAAATTTTTGGTTTTTCTGAATTTTTTTTTAATATCAATTCTGCACTGTAAATAAGTTTTCTTACAGGAAATTTAACATCCTTTCAAGCGGCACAAACCAAATTTTTCTTCAGTCTTTTGGATCTAATGATCTCTGGCGCGGTAATTCTGGGATATCGGCGGTTAGGGAGGTTTAGGACCCTGTAGACATAGTTTAGGTAAATTTAATGTAAAATGAAACAAGATTTAGTATTTGTTTTGTTACAAAAAATTAAATTGAAAGTTCTAGAAGGGTGCCTTTTTAAAGGAAACCCAACGCTCTTTTAAATGTTTTTCTTTTTGATTGTACACAAATGTTCAAGACTACGAGTAGATTTATGACGAAAACCGCAGATAGTTGGAAAAAACATAAAACGTTGAATATCTGCGAAATGGTTGAGAATCTGACCACGGTTTGTATGTTGTTCCTATGGTGTCAGCCTGGAATGTCCCGGTGAAGTTAATACATTGAGCAGAGAGACACCCTGTGTAAATATAATAATAATAACAATAATGAACTTAAGAAAAATGACCAGTCTGCTTTCAAAGCTTTTATGAACATGGATCTTGGATCCGTCTGCCATAGGTCGATGGTTAAACAATCAGAAAAGAAAATCAGAAAAGAAAATCAGAAAAAACAGAATAAAGAAAGATAATAATAATAGGCTAGGAAATAAATGGAAAGAAAATAAAAATACCAACTGGTAAAATGAGAAGGAAAGAAAAGAAAAAACAGGTTATACAAAACAAGTCAAAAATTAAACACCTTTTTTAATTCATATCTTTAATTCCATGCATGCAACGAATTAAGAGCCGCGAATTTGAGCCACTCAAAAACCGTAACAGGTCGACTCTGGGGAGGGTGAAACATCCGAGATGCATTAACCGAATCTCACCCTGAGATGAGCTCTCCGCCAAGAAGTGGAATACAGTTTCAATGGAACGCGAATTGCTCAAAGAACTGATTCCCAATTCCCTTCTAATCCAAACAGCATAGTTTAAGTGCAAAACCTCACTTCTTTGCTTAAATAGCCAGCGCAACTCATTGAGACAAAGACTGTCAAAATTGTCCTCATTTAGGTCGAACAATAGGGGAAATTTGTACTTTTTTGTAAAGGGAGAGATGCGTAAATGCTTGGACACGTGATCGGCATTCTTCTTGATGTTGATTTTTAATTTGTCTATAAGAACAGAAAAATAATTGTGCCAGTCATAGAGGTTGCCTAAGGATAAGGAGGGCAAGTTGTACATTTTACATAAATATTTCCAGTGTGCAAACCATGACATATTAGACTTCATTACCGCCAAAGTTGTTTTTGAGTTCGGGAGACATCAGAACTTTCACAATATAGGAGTGTATATACCAAAACTAAATCCTTGTTGGTCTCAACCCAGTATATAGTTTGGTGTACCAGATGGCAATATGAATAACTTTCTTACAAAAAACGATCCACTTTTTCTATTGTTTCGAATCTCTGATATCCCCACATTTGACAGCCATAACACAGAATTGCACGACGTATAAAATAAAATAACACAGTGTAAAAAGAGTTGATGTAAAATTCATATATTAAAAATAAATTTCTTTTCTTTTGGAATGAAATAATCTAATACAAATGTATGATAAAGTAACCGTAAGAGGCGTAAGTTAATGTATTGTCCAAATATTTTGTGGATAGTTAGAATTGCACTATTTTATGATAAAGTAACGATATTACCGGTACGTGTTGTAATATTTAACATTTAGGTAATGATTTTAAGCGATGGATTTTGACGAAAAGCGAATACTTTTTTCCTAATCTCTATTTTGAAATGTGGAATTTTCCGTATTTCTTTCCTTCCCTCGTCCTCGAAATTCAGTTTTTAATTGCTTTGATTTGTAAGTAAAGGCGAAACGAAGGGGCTCCCGAGCGACAAGCCGGGGCTCCGAAGAAAATCCACCCCCGCTTTTATGATTGCGTCTCTTCGCCCGAGGGCTGAAATCCCGGTTTCCGAAGGGTTGTTTGCCCCTGATTGGCCGCCGCCCCCGGGTTTTATTTTCAGGGGGTGGGAACAGATGTCGTAAAACCGCCCCTCGAATCCAATCCGCGCCTCATTTCCTAATTTCCGCGCCTCCATATGACGTTATGGCTTGAAAAACGGCGACTCGCCTTCAAATCCCTGGATTTACAATCCTTTAGAAAAGATCACAGTCCAATCCATTCTCGCATAATTCGCAAATATATATTTTGAATACATGAAAACAAAACAAAAATATTCGTTATTCCAACGATATTATCGAATGGGAGAAAAAATTTTAAAAAACCCCTAGAATAATAGACGAAACACAGAAGATGCGAAATGCCGAAACAGCATTGTAGACTAAACCAGCGAGGATGGACTTGTGATAAATCTTCCCTTTCGAAAAACTTTGGAGCAGTGAATGATACTACTAAAAGGACAATAATTATTGAATGAGCTTCAATACTCGAAACGATGTATCAATTCATACGGTGACAAAAGTGTAGCTGGTACTGGCTCTGGTTACTCAAAGGATCTGGCAGGTTCACTGGATTTAGAACAAATTATAAAGTTTTCATTGAATTAATTCAAATGAGCAAACTCATGTCTACTTTGAGATACTTCATTAAAGTTTTATGTAAGTTAATTAGATGTGGGCAATCTGTTGAAAAAAAGAAGAAAAGTTTTTTGTACGGAAGTGATAGCCTAGCTTTTCTAAAAAAAATCATGACCTAGGTGTTTCGTTTCGGCTAAATTCTCTCAAGCCAGTAAATTAAAAAAATATAAATATAAATTAATCCATATTTAGTAGTCATTATTGACCTATTAATTATTTTAATTAATCATATTTTTCTAAGGTCTTGATTAATGTAAAAGCTAGTATAACGAGCGGAACGCGAACCAACGACCTTCGTCTAAGCCGGCTAGCCGAAAGTCATAGGTTCGAATCCCGCTGGTGACACTAGCTTTTTCATCTCGACCAAGGCCTTAGATAAAAAGTATAATAAATATACAAGTATTATTAAAATAAATATACATGTTTTGTAAATGACCTTCTTAATGACAATATTTTGGATTTAGACAAACATTCTTTTCTTCTTCTAATCTTCTGTTAATGCCTTAAATATATTCAAATAATCTTGATTTTTATTTTCTCTTTCTCCCCCTTTTTTCTCCCTCAATTTCTCTCTCTCTCTCTCTCTCTCTCTCTNCTTTAGGCCCTGAAGATGATCTCAATAAAAGATAGAAACGTTGGCACGATAAAGAAAATGTTTTTCTGAAACCTACATCACACCCGACCGCATCTCACGATATCTGAATAACTAAACTTAAGACAAAACTTCATTAAATTCACTAATTTCGTGGTCCGCTTGACTAATTAATACTTTACAATTAATTAAGGTTTTTAGTTGAGATGAAAAAAAGTTAAAAAGTTTTGAAAAATGTCAAAAGGAGGGAAAACTCATAAGGTGGGGTTGAGATGGGGAGTTGATGTCCGAGTGAATCGAGGTCACGATGGCTCAGGTGGTACAGCAGCCGCGTATCTAGCCGAGGGTCGTGGGTTCGAATCCCTCTCGTGCCATTAACTTTTTTTCATCTCAACTAAAAACCTTAATTAATTGTTAAGACAAAACCATATATTCGAAATTCCAATTCATACAACATTCATTCCAAAACATACTCCAACTTTTTCATAATTACCAGCATAAAGCTGTTTAATAATGTTACAAATATTATTTCCTCTGAGAGCAGTTTTCGTACTTCAAAAAAATATCTAAAACAACTGATGGAAAATAATTAAAACCATTATAAAATCATGGAATCATAAATTAATTAATATTATGTTTTATTGTTTTCCCATTCTGTAAATAACAATAATTGGGGGGCGTCGGTGACCGCAAAAGTTTAGGCGTTGACACGGCGCTCATCACTGTAAGGTAAAGGTCCCGAGTTCGAACCCAGCGGCCCTGCATTCGAACCTGACATACCTACAAATGGGCTTTTTTTCAAAAACATCGGCACCCTGAGAGTTTATATGACCTCTGCTGTTGCGAACCCTCGTAAAAAAAAAAAAAATAATAACGAAAACTAAAAAATAATTAGTTAATTAATTTAAAGTCTTGTCTAACTATCAAAAATTCTTGTTAAAGTTTTTATTGTTTATCTCTTTTTTTTTCTTTTGATTGTTATTCATTGATTTCTTACACAGATATATATTGTCTTATTGTCACATATTGTCTTATTAATTTATAAATCAAAAATTGTTGTATTGTGAAATATTTAGTAAAAAAATGTATACGACTTTTTTTTCTTGCATTCTATTTGCAAAATAAATTGTAAATACCAAAAGAGTGTGCATAAATTGTATGCTTAATGTAAAATGTACAGCTCACGTTAAGTGGAAGAAAGGTCCACGAGATCTAAATTTGCGTGGTTAAATAAAACAACAAAATAAAATCAATCTCTCTTTCTTTCTCTCGCTTTCTCTAGGTTCTAGTTTATAAAAAATATACGTTCATATATTAAAGATATTCATGCAAACGTACGCAATTTGTCTAGTGATGTCTAGGATGAATTTCTTTTGCGCCGTGAAAGTCCGGAAATGTTATGTTATCGTTTCAATTTTAAAATAAGTTTAAAAGGTAATAAAGTTCACTGATTTTATAGGATATTTTCTATTATATTCTACATTAAATTTAAAAGAACTCACTTTTAAGTAGTGGAAGGTCACCTATGAATCCGGAGTCTTCGACATTACCCTGAAAAAGACAAATTAAAACTTGTAAAACATTTCACTGTTACTGTTCATTGTTACTAAATACTCATATTAGTATATACTATAGAATTCCAACAAATTCAATTGTAATATATAAGAAGTAGAATTTCTCAACTGGACGAACTTTCCATTGTGGATCATCCCCGATCATCATTGTCTGCTTTATTTATCTTATACAGGGTGAATTGCTACTCGTGCTACAAACTTCTCCAGTAGATTCTTGACCCTAAAATGAACAAAAAAGTTCATATTGTCCATGGTCCGATTCTCAACCATTTCAGAGTAATTTCGCTTTTTATCGATTTTGAAAGATATCACGTCCTGGCGTCGGAAAATCGTGATATCTTTTAATCTAAACATTTCTCTGAAAATCTAATAGCACCGTTGAAATTCCCGTTAATTTTTCAATAAGAAGATGACGGTGGCAAAATGTTTGGGCTAATTTTTTGTGTTTTATTTCAGCCAGAACTACAAAAAGAGTGGAAAATTGTGTAAATCGGAAAGTGTATAAAGTAATCCAGAGTTTCTAATTTTAGTCTCAGAAGGCAGCAAATTTGAGGAAAACTACCTGATTTAATAACGCTTCCAACGCACTCGTCATTTTCTTATTTAGTGGTTGTGAGACCAAGATGTTGATGACAAAAAGAGAAAAAATGGTGGTTCAAGGATTGCTAATGTTTGAGAGTGACTTGCTACTCGTGCTACAAACTTCACCAGTAGATTCTTGACCCTAAAATGAACAAAAAAGTTCATATTGACCATGGTCCGATTCTCAACCATTTCAGAGTAATTTCGCTTTTTATCGATTTTGAAAGATATCACGTCCTGGCGTCGGAAAATCGTGATATCTTTTAATCTAAACATTTCTCTTAAAATCTATAAGCACCGTTGAAATCCCCGTTAATTTTTCAATAAGAAGATGAAGGTGGCAAAACGTTTGGGTCTTTCTTCCTTGACCTTCTAGCTGTTTGTAAACTTCTTAAGCATTACATACTAAATGGGCATTAAATTAAATTAAAAAATTTCAATGGAATTATGATTTTGATTCTCTCTAAAAATTAACGGGGATTTCAACGGTGCTTATAGATTTTAAGAGAAATGTTTAGATTAAAAGATATCACGATTTTCCGACGCCAGGACGTGATATCTTTCAAAATCGATAAAAAGCGAAATTACTCTGAAATGGTTGAGAATCGGACCATGGTCAATATGAACTTTTTTGTTCATTTTAGGGTGAAGAATCTACTGGAGAAGTTTGTAGCACGAGTAGCAATTCACCCTGTATAGGCGTTTCGGCATTTTAATATAGTTCAGAAAGAGCAGTTACTTCACCATCCGATAATAGTTCAGAGTCAATAAAAAACATTGAATAAAACGTAAAAGCACCTTTGAATCGATGGAAGGCAACTGTTGATCCAATATCCGAAAAGGAGGAGAACCTGTCGTTCTGAACGTCATGGTCGACTTAGTGTTAAAGGGTTGATTGCAAAAATGAATCTTAAAAAATATTTGTTGTTTATAAATGTTTATTTTAAATATGGTTAAACCTTTAGCTGCAGGCAACTTATAAGGAGTCGAAATAATACAGTTTATCCCCTTAGGACAAAAATAAACTTGACATATGCTTTTTCAATCGAACAACAACATTGTAGTCTTGCAGTTGGGAAAAATGTCACAGCGTGGGCCCATTGGAACGGGCTAATTTCTAATATAGTAAAGCCTTTTATAAGATTAAAGAATAACACGTTTGCACAAAAGGAGGAAACAACAACGGTGTTTTTATTTGTTTGCCGGGGGTCCCGGTGCCCGGAGGGTGTCAGGGGGTTAATAAGAGCGTGATTATCGCTTCGGGGGGGTTGTTTCTCGCCTTTTCCACCGACTTTGTAAGGCTAATTTTCAACTGGGGGCTCAAACTGAGACCGACTTCAGAAAAGGCACGCATGGAGAGACCGCAGACAGTTGTCAACGGCAAGGGGATCAAAAGGATTCCACGGCTCGGCAGAGGCAGGGGAACTTTTAAAATACGTTTGTGTTTAAAAAGACGCGAATACCCGGCAGATTTCATCGTTTGCCTTGAGAAAAAACACATTCAAAATGCTTTAATTAAACACAGTTCCGGAGAGGGTATGCAGCTACATACATAAGCACACTAAAAAAAAAAAAAAAGAGTTCATAATAAAAAAATGAATAGTTCCGACAGTTTTAATAATTATTTACTTTGTGAAATTACCTAAAATTCAAGTACATAAACATTTATAATATATTTTTAATGAATGATAATGGTTCTCTTAATACATTGGATTCTTCCAATCATGAACCTTAAGATGGTTCCTCAATCTCTCACTCGTTGTCTTTATGTTGTTTAATGTTTTTACCTGAGAATCATCTACGGCGCTGGACAGTGCGTTGTGGAGGTTCATGGAATCCTCAAGCCCGGAATGGATCCCATCTCTGCGGAGGCCGTAGTCGTTCCTCCGGCCCTGGTTGTCGTACGGAAAAGCGGAGTGCATAGAACTCTGAAAACGAAGAAAACCCTGAAGAATTTACAAGTGGAAAAGTGGATTCGATTGATATAGAGTCTGTCTTCCATTATCCTTGTAAAAATTGACATAGTGCAGCTATTCTTTAACAGACTGCCAATATTTGGGCCGTTTCCTTGTCCGACTTATTTAGGGAAGAAGATAAAAAAAAGGGGGAACCCTACTTTAAACAATAATTTAGCAACAATCCGGGCAGGGGCCGAGGGGGGGATTCCTCGGATTCTTACAGACGCGAAATCCGGGGACGGGGTGCTCCCCCAGGCCCGGAATTCGCGCGGGCTCAAAGATCCACCCCCGCCGGGAGCAGATGCTGAGTTAATATCGCCTTCGGTAAAACAGCGGAGCTCTTCTGGTATCTCCGCATCGTCAGCCTATCGCCATATATCCGAGTATTAATGGTCCAAACCTCCAATTAAGATCATACACTACGGGATAAAAACGGTAAAATTCGAAGCCACCTTTGTCAAAGTATGGCACTTGGTTTGTTCAGCTTGCTCCATAAAGAAAAAAAAATTGATTCATATTTAAATTATAGAAGATAACAAGAGCCAATTATGTGCCCTGCTTGGCCATGTTACCACTAAAATCTGTTCGAGGAAGATATCTATTTTTCCCACTTTTATTATTAGCTATTTTGTTCAATTTCCGTCTTTTTCCACTGACGGAAAGTAAAATACACTTACGACATGTCCGTCGGCGTCTCGTCTCTGACCCACTCCAAGCTGATAATGGTGCTGATGGATCGAGTTGATGGTGTACGGGTCCGCCTGGGTCGTCATATAGTCCACTCCAGGTGGTGAGGTGGCGGATGGAAACGGCGGGGGGAAGTAAGGCGGCTGGAACTCGGGGGCGGACATCCTCCCACCCCCGGAGCCGCCCCCGGGCGAGAAACCCGGCCCCGTGAGGCGATCCTGAAACAAAAAAGAACACTTTTTCAATAATTATTCCTGGTGCCGAAGAAGTTTATCCTACAAAGAAAAACTGTCATAACTTGCAATTCTTCAAAATTATCTTGTTACTGTTAACTTTTTATAAGTCTTATTGGGTCATCATCGTTATATAGTCTCATTTCATCATCATCAGTGATATGATGTTAACAATAGAGGCCAACAGCAGAATATGGGGAAATTATCGTATGATAGTGCCCACAGAGAATGGTTGGACAAAGAAGATGATATATGTTGACACGAAATAAAATTATTATTTGCAACTCAGCAAACACGCAAACCCACCACTGAAGAACTACCCTCTGATATAACGGACACAGCAAGGGTGGGCAGATCAAAACGACCAAACCACAAGCTGAACTGTTAATTTGAAAATTGCTTATTAAGGATATAATCAGGACACATATCGTGCTGTAGTATGGAGGCCAACCTATTCAGAAAGACTTTAAAGTTTTCAACTTTTTTGTTTTGTGTTTTGATCCGGACTTCGAGCCAACAGTTCATCATCAGACTGAAGGAGCTCTATGACATGGATCGCAAGACTCTTGAGAATGATGAGCTGTCGGCTGGAAGACCGGATCATTGAAAACAACTTACTGTGAGTAGGAACTATCTTTTTAAAAAGATTGAACAACGCACTCACTCCACCATTTATCATTTCTAGACTTCTAAGCACCAGAGAAAATTAAGCTAAGCCTTAGGAAAATGTTGCGCAATGAAGATAAATTTAAACAATATAGCCACAAGAAAAAAATGGGTATAACCTATTCTGAATCGAAGATTAACTCTAAATTAAAACGGATGGTACATCGATATATAGAAAAGAAAAAAAAAAGAAAAGAGAAATAACGAGCAGGAGTATTCGTTTTAATCATTCAAGCTGAGATCTTTGCAGATGAATTTTATACACAGGAAATAACCAAAGGTGGAAATTCTGCCAGATAGCCTGCCGGCATTATCTCTTCAGCTAAAAACCGGCCTGACAGTAAATTTTCTCCAATGCTTGAGTTAAAGTCCCAAGGATAACATCGGAAACGCGCAGAAGTGCAGCAGTAATCGGGCCAGAAATACACCCAAAGAATGCTGGAAGTGGAAATGAACGTTAGAACTCACATAGGCAAAGTCGAGGAAGATGCTTAACGGTCAAGAAGCCACGGCATTAAAAACACTCTTATTTGACTTTGTACCTTTATTCCGTTTACGGTAGAGTTCTATTGTGTGGCCAAACAATTGTCATAACGGGTAGAATTTTTAATCTTCATCAATAAAATGTTAACAACACTACACTACCTTCTTTTCTTCGAGTTTGATCGTGCTACGGTCGAAACATTCAATAGTTTCAAATTAGAGCAAGTCTCTCACATATCAAGCCAAGCCAGTTTACGAATTACGCTACTTCATCTTTATATTCTAATAACATAAGGACAAGACTTTTCGTAAAAATATTATCACATTTGATCGGTTCAAACTGGCTGGAATAGAACGAAAAGAAACCCAAGAAGCCCAGTACGAAATTCTTAAACATGTTTTCAAGAGATTAACCATTGGACGTCCAGCCCAAGAATTAATTTATTTTTATTTAGAAATCAACAAACTGACAATTAAGTTTAAAGTATATGGAAAAACACCATTCTTACAATAATAAAAAAAAACCTTTTCAGATAACAGCACTGTGTTTTCTAATTTCATAAAATCAGCTTAAAAATGTAGAATTTGTTGTAATCTGTTAATTACAAGGAAGAAAAGAGATAAAGTCACGAATTTTTTATTATTCCATAAGTTGCTTTCTATCAAATTATTATAGAAATCGCATTTTCACAGGAAATCTGAAAATTAATGTTATATTACTTATATAATTTTTTCTGGCATCATTATTAAGTATGAGAAAAGAAAGTAGTTTTACAGAAGTTTGTACAGACATGCGATTTTTAAATTAAGGTCATATTTTCAAATCATGAAAACGAATTGCCGGATTTTAATTTAAGTAATTAAGTTAATCAATTAGTTCAAAACTTTAAAAAAAAGGAAGGTTCAAACGATAGACGTGTTGGAAAATATTGGTAAAATTTGCAATTTATAAAAATTCAAATCAAACATCAATTGATGTAATTTTTATGTTTAACAACACACCGAAAATTTTTCTGATTGAAATGTTTAATATACAGACTGCATGTTTCATTTTAGTGATTAATTTCTGAGTTTAACACTCGTACGCACGCACGCATATAATTTAAAGCTTTGGAATTATTCATAAGAATCACATTTCGCCTTCTGACACTAAATATCGGGTTGTCCGGAAAATAATGCAGGATTTTAAGTTTTCATTAAAAAAAATCTATATAAAATATTCTGTTTACGTTTACAGGATTACTCATTTGTATGAATGTCAACACTTATTAATCCTCTTCCAAATGATATTGTTTGTTTACCTCTGTAGCATTCCGCTACTTGGAAATAATTCAGTCATCCTTATAATGTCAAAGCGAGAATTTCGTACGATTTTCTTTTACGAGTTTAAACTCGGCCGAAGCGGAGCCCAAACGGCTAGAAACATTAACCAAGTCTGGGGCGAGGGTTGTGTTAATGAGTGCACTGTGCAAAGGTGGTTTAAAAAATTTCGGGAGGGAGATTTCAGCCTTGAAGATGAAGAAGGTCGTGGAAGGCCTTCCTCTCTTAATGATGATGTTCTGCGATCAGTGGTGGAAGAAAACCCCAAAACAACTGTTCGAGAACTTGCAGAGCAACTCAAAGTCAGTAAAACGACCGTCGCTGACCACCTCAAGGCGATTGGAAAAGTGAAAAAACTCGAAAATTGGGTTCCACACCCATTAAACGATCGCCAAAAAATCAGCGCTTTGATGTTTGCGCATCACTTCTTTGTCGAAACAAAAATGACCCATTTCTGGCCAGAATTGTTACATGTGACGAAAAGTGGATTCTCTACGATAACACTAGACGTTCTGGACAGTGGCTCGACAAAGGAGAAGCTCCAATACATTTTCCAAAGCCCCCAACTCATCAAAAAAAGGTAATGGTTACGGTATGGTGGGCTTCATTTGGTTTAATACACTGCAGCTTCTTAAATCCTGGCGAAACCATCAATGCTGAATCATACTGTAACCAAATTAATACCATGCATCAGAAATTGGCAGTAATGAAGCCCTCTTTGGTCAATCGGAAAGGGCCCATTTTGTTGCATGACAACGCTCGACCACATGTGTCACGTGTAACGTCACAAAAATTATTGGAGCTTGGCTATGAAACTTTGCCTCACCCACCCTACTCTCCGGACCTCTCGCCTACTGACTACCATTTTTTTAGACACCTGGACCACTACTTACAACACATAATATTCAAAAATCAAACGGAACTGGAAAATGCATTTATTGACTTTATCAATTCTAAAAATTCTGAATTCTACTCAGACGGAATTAATAAGTTACCAACACGTTGGGAGAAATGTATTGAGAGTATGGGAAATTATTTTGATTAAAGAACATTGCTTTAAAGTAACTAGTTTCTTTTTTTTTGTTTAATACCAAAATCCTGCATTATTTTCCGGACAACCCAATAACAATATTTCCGACATAATCACTTGTAAATCTTAAATTCAATATCGGCAATAAAAAGAGCTTAAAAAAACTTATTTGGTGTGTTCATGATGCATAGCAATTGAAACTATTTCAAATGTAAAAACAGAGACCAGTTTATATTTAACCATTAATAATGTTAAACTTAAAATATCCAATGTGTTCATTGATGAACTAAAAAGTGCTTTTATATTAAAAATTTTGGTGGTAGAAATGGTGTTAAACCAGATTCAGTGAGATTGTTCAGTAAAAAAAAAATATTTGCTGATTTACTAAGTCGGCCACGATTATTCTGGTTCTCGTTTTTTTTTTTTTTTTGTCAGGCATTGGAAAATTTGTTCATTCACAAAACAAACCATCCGATGAAGAATGGAATACGTTTGACTGAAACTCAAAATAAATTTTAATTTAAGGTAATAATTTTAGGTAAGCGAAAATAGGAGGACCAGGAATAAAGACTGTTTATTAAATAAAAGATTTGAATAAAATCTAGTGATGAAAAAATTTAGTTTTTCACTTAAAATTAGTGGCTAACGTATATTGTAAAAAGACACGACTGAAAACTGTCGTAGCTTCATTTCCTCATTCGGTCCGTCTATCCTCGCTGGTTTTATCTGTCAAGTACAAATTAATGCGTTATACATAAACAAGTCTGGCAGGCGAAAACAGGCGGACCAAGACCAAGCTACAAGTCAATCACTTTGCAGACCTCAAAACCTTTTTTCACAATTCGCTGGAGAAACGTAAAATAAAACTACAAAAATTTACCTAAAAATTTGTTAGTATTTTGTTTAGTAAAAAAACATATTTGCTGGATTAATAGGTAGGCCACAATCACCCTGGTCTATTCTCGTAGTTTTCTTGCCAGGCAGATTGACTTTTCAGTGGCAAATTTGTGCGTTTACAACACAAACCATCGATAAAGAATGGAAAATCTTTGTTTGAAAGTCAAAACAAGCAAGGATAGGCGGGCCAGGAATAAAGACTGTTTATTAAATAAAAGATTTGAGTGAAATCTACTGATGAAAAAATTTAGTTTCTATCTTAACTTTTTGGTTAACGTATATTGTAAAATGACACGAATGAAAACACACCATAGATGAAGAATAATCTTTGACTGAAAGTCAAAACAAGCAAGAATAGACGGACCAATAATAAAAATTGTTTATTGAATGAAAGGTTTGAATAAGATCGCGTGATGAAAAAATTTAAAATGTTTGGCTAACATATAAAATGACAAGATTGAAAAATGTTGTAGCTTGATTTTTCTCCTCCGGTCCGCCTATCCTCGCGGTTTTAGCTACAAACGAATGCGATATGCATAAACAAACCCGGTGAGCAAAATCAACGAATGTGGGCCAAGATCAACCAACA